TAGTCCCGCTGGGTTTCTTGCTGGTTTTTCCCAGGACAGAGGTTTTTTTTTGGGAAACCAGTGGTAAATGAAAAAATTGACTTTCAATAAGTATTGTTTATAATCTACATTAAATAAAAAAGTTTCTGTTTCTAATATTTTTCCAATAAATATAGTGAATACTTATGATTTTTATTGTAGTTAAAATTATTTAAAAAACGTATTTACATAAACTTTTACTCGTAACTACAACTTTTATTTCAAGCACAACTTTGGTAAAAAATGTAAGAGATAGAGTCTCGGGTGCAGGAAAATGGTGCAAGAAACACGTAATAGTGAACAGAGACAACAAGAGTAATTACAGAAAACGAAGCGGACGTCGAGCGTAGGGCTGCGCTACCACCTGCAGGCCTTTCTTAGAACCTGTAACTGTTGACGAAGTCACAGAAATCATCAAAAACCTCAAAAAGAAATCAGCACCCGGCCCTGACGGCATTAGCAACAGGGTACTGAAATCTCTCTCAGTGCCGCTTGTCTGTCTCCTAGTTGGCATTTTCAACGCCCTTCTCTCCAGCTGCTCCTTCCCGGACGCATGGAAAGAAGCAGACGTCATAGGAAACCAGAAACCTAGAAAACCACGCAACCTAGCCTCTAGCTATAGACATATTAGCCTACTCAGCACACTGGGTAAAGTTTACGAACCTTTATTATTAAATTGCCTCTGTAAACAAGTCCTTACCAATAAGCTTCTTCGGAGAGTTCGGTTTCAGACCCAAACACTCGCACTTGCATCAATCAAATCCACCGCCTTAAGAAATACAACCCAGAAGGCTTTTCCCACTCAAGGAGTAACGGTCGAATCCGTAACACAGGTGCCCTTTTCTTCTATGTCGCTAAAGCATTCGACAAGGTCTGGCACAATGGCTTGCTCTACAAGCTGTAAAAACCCAACGTGCCCGATAGGCTCACTCATATCATCAGAGTTTTTTGCCAACCGCTCTTTCAGATTTCAGATAGACGAAACTCACTCCTCCAAGCACCCCCTCTGGGTTGGTGCCTCCAGAGCTCCGTCCTCTTCCCACTCCTCTTCACACTCTAACAAGTGACATCCCAAAGGACCCAATAGTTAACACCACTCTCTTTGCTAATGACACGGCACTTTATGTTGCACATTTCAGAAAGCCATTTCTCACAAAGATGCTCTATAGAGCCACAAATCGTTTAGGAAAATAGTTTGCTTATGGAGAATCGAAGTGAACCTTAAAAAAGGATAGCAATATACTTTCAAAGGAGACCCTATTTCAATTGTCGTAACCTAAATCTATAAAATTCCCTAGGCACGATCACTTTATTCGGCCGCCAGATCCGAGTCACATTCGAATACTCCATGACCTTCGCGAAACACATTCGCGGCGTCCGCTGTCATGCCAAATTCGTCACTAATCGACTCCACCCGCTAGTTAACAGTAAGAGCAAATTGTCCCTAATACACAAGCTCCACCTCTACAAAGCTTGCGTAAGACCTATCATGACCCACGCAAGCGTAGCCTTCGCACACATAGCTCATTAACGTTTGAACGACCTACAAGTTGCCCAAAATAGATTAACTAGCATCCCCATCGGAACTCGTTGGTACCAGCGAAACTCGAATTTACACAAAAATTGTCAACTTCCGACGATCTGTGAGTATTTCAAGGAAATGTCTCGGCGCTACTTTGACAGCACTGAGACACATCCCAACCCGCTAAAGGTAAATGCAGAAACCTATGCTCCGACTCAAAATGTTAAGCAAAGCCACTGAAGGCCACAAATAAATTTCGACGAAACAAATATCGCCGCCCCGCCACACGTAGACATTACACATTCACCTAGTCCACAAACACTGATAGGACAACAGATGGGACACAGCGAGTTCGCAGACGGGCCCGCCGCGTATCCCACCACATCGCGTGCATAACGTACACCTGTGTCCCTGGGCGGTTTTCACCGCCCAGAACATTGAACGACATGAGTTAGCTGTCAGAACCGGGGCTCTCCACTTCTATTCGGACGACCGTTAGAAAACTCTTCCACGTGTACTGTTCACTGTCAGAGGAGTCATCGTTACGCAAGTGACGATGCGGAATGTATGAATTGAATTTACTAAACACACTTTTAAAAAACTTAACTTCGGACGGTGTGAGGGGCTTTAATCTGTGACCTGTTGTGTAGATTCATCTTATTATCTGCGCTTTATAGTAATGTAGAATTAAAACATAGAAGGATGCCGCATAGAGCTCCACAAAAAACCTTTTCACACGTTTCACTCGGATGAAATTGTTTGAGGTTCCAAAATATTCTCAATAGCAGCCCGGGGTAAGGAAGTTGGCTGTGTTTCATCTCTTTGCCTCGGTCTAGTTTTCGTTGAGACTGGCTTCAGGGACGAAAATTCGGTATGCAGGACAATGAACATGAAAATTTGTTAAAGTTTGTTTTCAGGGTGCACACAATAAAGTCTTGGGAAGATCATAATAAACACTTTCGATATTTTGGTAACTACGCTATTAGTAGACCTATTATTACATTATTAATTTTATAAAATTTAATAGTTGACATTTCTGATACCAGTTTCTTTGATAATGTGACTATGTTTATTTAAAACTATATGAACATACATTCAATTAGATAAAGGATGAACGAAATAGAGTGAAGATAATAAAGATAAAGGCATTTTCATAATAGTTTAAATTAAATTATTTTACGTGAAACCTGTAAAAACAGAAATGGTAAGATTGTTTTTTTTTTACAACTGACTTTAATATTAATAAAATGCAAACATCATCAATGTAGTCAAAGTCAGTTAAATACGCATTATTAAAGATAACTCAAAACCTACTTGTCTGATGGTAATCAAATTATATTCTGAACTACACTAAAAGCACCAGCTTTCAAATAAAAAAGAATTATCATAATCGGTTCACCTAGAAAAAGTTCTGAGGTAACACATAAAAAAACATGCAGTGGAGTTGAGTAACTCCTCATTTTGTAGAAGTAATTTAAAAAATTAACATTCTACGTCATATTACTAGAGCAAAATATAAGAGACAAGGGTACATTTTATAAAGAAAATTATTATGTTACTGTCCTTGGTTCTTAAAATGTCTGCAAAATTACATTATTCAGACCTCTTCATATGAATGAAAAGTGAATTACTAAAGTCCAATACATTCATATACATAGATATACAAGGTACGTTAGAACATAGACAGTTAGTGTAAGTTTGAATCTGGAGAAAAATGGTTTAATTAACTTTCTTAGTAAACCAGATAGTATAACCTCATAACATTATATGCACAATTAGTGCTACAATTCTCTACAGAACGTATCTGTATCTCTGATCTTAATAGCAGATGTCTTGCTCTTTGAAAGTTTCTCTCTGACTTCTGTTATGTACCACCATATATTGTTATACATGCTAGTATACATATGAGAGGCTAAGAAATACTTTGAAACCTTTTTAAATCTACTTAAGAGTTAGTTTATTATTTTGATTTTAATGGCGCTTTAGCTATTGAGACCTTTTTAAATCTTCTTTAGAGTTAGTTTATTGTGATTAGGGTTCACTGACTTAGTATTAAGTTGCGGTGATAAAAGCCTCAGTTTTAATTTGTTATGGAACAAGTATAATGCAAGTAAAATACAAATAACTGTACGGGGTCTGAATGTTGGCTCTTGTGCAATACATGTATCAAACTGATTTATATCATAATTAGTAAAAAATACTGTGGGGTATCGTTTTTATAAGGAAATAAAATGATGTTACTTCAACTCATCACTAAAATTAATATTAAAAAATCAGTTTTTTACCTAATACTCATCCTCATTTTTCTTTTGAGATTTGTGACTTAACAACTGGACACTACCTTCTCTCTTAGTCTAAGCATATGCTGGAACTAATGGGGAGACCCCGTTAAGCAAAATGACATGACAATGTTATGTGTGTGTTGATACATACACTTTTAAAGAAATAAAAACTGAATTATTTATTTTTTAGTTTTAATAAAAATGCTTTGATCATTGTCACGAAATTTATTTTGCGTTATATTTAAATTTGATACTTATCATAAGATTCATAATAACGGTTAGATAACATGGTATCAATATAAACGATCAAAACATTTTATTTTGTAATAACATGAGTTGTTTTTACATAAAATACAACAATAAATATTGTAGTAAAATAAATTACGTTACAATTTTAGCAGACAAATCGCAGGTCGTTAATGCAAATTAAATAGTCAATTAACGACATACAGAGAACAACTTAAACAACAATCAATGCTAATAAGATTTTATTATTTTTACTCTCAAAATTTCTGAGATTCGAAATATTTAAATAACTTTAGTATTCGCAATAGTATTGGTACCTGTAATAATAAATCAGGAAGCACTTGTCTGTAACAATATTGAAAATATCATAACAGTTCTATGGTTTCATCTTAAAAGATTCATCTTATCAATACGAATATTTTAAAGATATAATTCAAATGGCTATCAGCCATAACTAAATAATAACCTATTATCTTTTGTCAAACCACTGTAAGATAAACGTAAAAATGTAAGTACAGTCTTTGAAATTTTAAATTATTTACATTGTAGTCATTTAAAATGATTGAATCAATTCAAATCTTTAGGGACTCGTCCCTAAAGATTTGAATTCAACATAACTTCAAGTTCAAATATAATATTACGTTATGTATATCATGGCTTACTTACAATTTGCTGTCTATGAGCAGTTTGATTTAATTGGCCGCTGCTTTTTTGTTCTATCCATTTGAAATGGTTATGTCAAGGTCTTTTATTTACATTTAACACGAATATTGTTATAGTTTATTTATATTTTCTAATTAGGACATAATGCCTGTCTATTTTAACAGGATAGTCTATTTACACTTTTATATTTTGATATTTACAATCATGCACTAGTGTCATTTTCACTACGAATTTCACTTTTATACATAATTGTAAATATCTTCCATTTCTCATACATTCATTTCCGACATCGCAGCTTGAGGAACTCTCGGCTTCTGTGAAAAATGTTGTGAAGGCGGTGAAGAAGGAAGCACCGATCCGTTACCAGGCGACTGTATTTGGCCTGTTTGAGCTTGAACATCAGGCAAATTGTTTGCGCTCATGAATGTTGCATTTTTCGGTAATGTCATGCAATTAGAAGGATTACAAATCTGATTCTGCTGATAACTAAAACCAACTTTTCTTGGCAATGTAGTACACTGACCGCGATTTGTGGGTGAACTATTTTTTTGAGTTAGATTCGTCATTTGCATACCCGTATGGCAAACATTTGGACAGTTTGAACTCGTAAAATGTGGAACACGATTTGTTAGCGCTATTATAGCATTTTTATCTTGATGGTCTATATCAACAATTGTACTTGAACTTTGTGAATGGCCTACAAAGTAATGAGGATGTTTCGATGAAACATTGTCAAATGTAGAATTGTGATTCCTCTTTTGTTGCTGTTGAAGTGCCTTAACTTGGAGCCTAGTTTTGTCCCTTTGATAATAAACTCCAGCAAAAATTAAGACATTTAATATTAACAAAGAACACCCAATTGCGATGGTAACACTTAAAGCAGTAGAGTAAGCGGTATATCCTGCTGCTTCTAAATTCGACGCATCTTGAGAATTATTTGGAGCTTGATTTTGTGTGACTGCAGATCCCGGTCTTGCAGACATAACACTTATGCAAGTCGTAACATAAGTTTCCATTGTTGTTGATGGAATATCAAGTGTTACGTTGTAAGGTTTGCGATAAAGTTCAAGTGTTGGATCGTAGTAGCTGGGACGCATCAAAGGATCTGGTCGCACTAATCCATCGTACAATTCCGGGTCGTTATGGTTACGAAAGAGGTTGTATTTTGCTACGACGTCCCTCATCCCAGCCCTATGAATTTCAGGTATAAGCCGTAGCCATACTGAAAGCTGATGAGCACGGTAGTGGTTTTTCATGCGTGGTTTCATACCTGTAATATTTTTTTTATAACTAATGCGTAAATATCGAACAAACGAAGTTTACCTAGTTAAAAATAGTATAATATAGAATTTTTCAATTTGTTTAAAAAATATCATAAAAGTACTCTAAGAGGAATATTTTAAAAGGTTTACTACATTATGTCGAAAACGTACGTAGAAATTATTTTACATGTTAACAATTTTCATTATGTAGTATTCATATATCAGTATGTTAGTAGTATTATCAGTGTGTGATTTAAGTATAACTTGTATTACCTTACCTATTTCTAAATATTTTTGATGCAAAGTATCATATTCATCCCAAACTATGCTCTTAAATTTATTGCGCTCTCTCGATATAGGTAGTACAGATTCTTGACGCTGAACTTCGTTGGGATTCCTATTAAACATAAAATTAAGAATTATAAAAAAACGACTACTTTAGTAGCTTCTTAATAAAGTTACGAAATGTATACTTAATTAACTAATTTATGTATAGAGAAGAAAAATAATATAATTTATAGAGGCTTAAGGGAATCCATTACATAAAATTATTCCTACTATGAAAGACTTATAAAGGTTACGGTGTATGTATCTAGAATCTAGTATGATATCCTATCAACGCTTACGCCTATCAACGTCAATTTAGGTTGAGCATAGGCCTTCCCCAAATACTGAGTAATACCGGCGTCGCCATATTTGCCACGCGTGTCAAGCGATTTCTTAACTGCAGTATTTTTTTAAATTGTTATTAGGAATATGTTGTTATCCATTTCCTGTTCCGTTTTCCTTCTCTCACCAATGACATCATCCACTCTAGTATACCCAAGTTTAAGCTTATTTATTACTACGCCAATTACTCTATTATAACTTATTTCGTTGAACGAATCTTAATTGTACCACGTATCCGCCCTGGCTATTTCACTCTAAGCAAGGAATACATCCACGAAAGTAATATCTTAATCAGTGCTTAAAATTTATTACTACAAGAACTGCTAGAAGCTATTTCCTATGGACGCAGCTCGGTAAAAACATTTTTTAAGAATGTTTCATTATTTAAAATTTAAAATAAAATGAATAACTTTCCTTTTTTTGCAACTCATAAAATAAATATCATGAAAGACAACATAATACAAAGTTTTATAAAATAATAGAATACTCTTAAAACAGGGTAGTGGCCATAGATAATATATATACACCAGAGAAGTGGCAAGGTAACAGAGGGCCGAAAAGTAGATAAAAATAATCTTTGCATAAAAGTTGATTTAAGAATGTGTTATTACATTAAATTAAAATATATGATAAAAATTAAAGAAAGGCACATAAAACAAATGCTGTAAGAATATTTTTATATTACTGGCATGTTTTAGACCAATTAAAATAATGCATATTCATGAATGCTCTGTCAAATCAGAAACAAACAACTTTGTTTTATTTCAAAGCTAAAGTAGCTCAACCGTAATCAAACTTCGCTCAAAATAATAATTTTCTATTCTGCTCGGATACCGAACGACGCGAAACACGAAGTCTGCTGTTAGCGCTTTCGTACTGCTTATTTATTTTATAGATATTTTTAATTTTTTATTTATGTTGGTGGACAATTTTAAACACCTAGAATAACAATATCTCAATTTTTTATTATTTTAATTTAATACATTAAATATTAAATTAAATTTTTAAAAATAATTTAAATATTGCACAGACCAAAATAATCACTAAATTTTGAACAGTATCCTTAATTTTTTTTAATTATTAATCATACAATAGAACAATATTTAATCTACTTATATTTATTTTTAGGTAGCCCCGGGGGTCCCTAACTACCTACACACAAAGTTTCATGGAAATCTGTTCAGTAATTTTTGCGTGAATCTTGAATACACAGACAGACAGACTGACCAAAATTCTGAAAACCACTAATTTGGCTTAAGTGCCCTTTATTGAATCCCCTGGGCTTGTTTTTTTTTTTTCCAAAAAATATTAGAACTACAGACCCGACTTTTCCACAGATTTATTATATGTATAGATTTCTTGTTTTTCTTTCTTTTCAGTACCTACATAATATGGAATATAATTGGGTTTTGTGTGACAATATCACTTAAATATATAGTTTTAGGAAAATATGTTAAAATTGAGTCATCATAATTTAAGTCGCCTTATTTCAGATTTCATTATCTTATTACTTCCCGTGAGTGTCGTAAGAGACACCAACGTAAATTCCAGAAAAATCTTCCAACATATAACGTTGTAACCATATAATTAACACAGATATAAAATACCTAGACGGGCAATGAACAGCAGTGTTAAAGTTGTGACAATTTCCTTCAAATGGAGAGGCCTACATTCAGCAGAAAATGTTACTTAATGATTAAAAAGATGAAATATTTAGTTACACTTGACGCTAATGTAAATTTTTATTAAAAATATTTTAATAATAATTATATCTACTAGGTTTGTTCGTGTTTTAAACAAAAATGCGACGTAGTTATTTATTAATTGTGATTCGAACTGAACAATAAAAATTGGGTTGGAGTCGGATATATGAGAGTTACGCACCAATTAAATATGAAAATCTCAACTTAAATTATAGTTATACACCGCCCCAAATTATATTATAAAAATTATAAAAAGCCTCACTTTTTCACAACACTAACTTACTTGGTATTAATCTATATATCTTAGTCGCGGAGTTTTTAACAAAATGCTTAGTATGTAATTCTCAAGTTGTAAATATTTCTGTATAATGTTTACTGTATGTATGACACAAACACAAACGAGTAAAATTCTTTAAAATGAAAGAATGCTAAAAATATGTTTAAGTTTCTCGTAGCACTGCACTCACCCAGTTCTAGCGAAATTCGCGATGTACAAGATGAAAGCCTCCGAAAGTGCTACTTCGGATTTTGTATAATCCTTTGGAAAGTGTCCGAGCCCTTCAACTAGCGGCGCCCCGAATAAATAGGGCAGCTCTTCTCCATGCACGGAACCCATGCGCTATAATTTTAACGGATTTTTTCATTACGAGGACAAAATATAACCTACATGTACCATTAAAGTACGTGATAAGTGTTTAGTAGATATTAAGAATATAAAATTAAAATCTAAAAATAAATAAACATATTTATGGTGGGTTTTAAATTAATATTTATATTTAACTTGCCTGTGGATAATCTCCATCTTTAGTTTGATAATCAAAGACGTAAAAAAATGTACTCGGACCAGACTCAGTTGAACTTAAAAAATCTCCAGTCTGAACAAGCGGAGCGACATATTGAGCGTCTGAGAGCGCTAGCACCACTGCGTCTCTTGTATTTATTGGATGCTGTTAAACAAAATAGAATGAAGAGTGTTTTAGTTAATTTGTAAGTATATATCAGTAAAAGGTATTGTTTATATTCGGTTACGTCCTTTTTAATATCTACGTACTGTCTTAAGTTATTCAAAGATTTACGATACATTTATTTATTTTTTATTTATTTTATTCTTTATTGCACCAAAGATTTTGTACAAAAGGCGAGCTTAATGCTATATGGCATTCTCTACCAGCTAACCTTGGGTAGAACAGAGAGTGAGTTATGGGCAGTAAAGATGTCGTGATCTCATTCAATTCAAAATGTACATGCTACACATACATATAATATATATATAAATATATATTATATATATATATATATACATATATATATACATACACATACACATATATAAATATATATCTCCATAAATTTATATACAAATAAATATAAACATATAAAGTAAGTGGACTCAAATTTGTTGGTTACGGATATATTCGTATAGTTTTCTTTTAAACACGTTTTTAGCAGGTATTATGCGCTGGTCAACAGGCAATTTGTTCCAGAGGGAGATGGAAGTTAATGTGAAAGAATTTGACATAAACCCAGAATGGTGGAGAGAAGTAGACAGTAATAAATTGTGTGAAGACCGGAGATTGAGAGAATGAGTGTCACTACGGAATTGGAATCTTTCTTTTAGGTAAAGGGGTGAGGAAGAATCATTAAGAACTGAAAACAGAGAGGACAGCATTCGAAAATCTCTGCGCTGGCGTATAGTCAACCACTTTAATTGGGAGCGAAATTCTGATACGTGGTCGTATTTGCGCAGACCAAAGATGAATTATAAAACTGTCAACCTGCTTAGCACTCTGAAATATAGAAAGAAAAAACAACGGCAAGTCAAATAATGGAAGAATTAGAGATTGATAGTAAAGCTTATAAGGAGAAAAAACTAAGAAGAGTTTTCTTTTAAAATTAAAGAAAAATAGCTGCACCCTTGAAGTTGCGAAAATATCTCTTCCTGTAGGTGTCATAATAGACGGCAGAGGGAAATGAAACAGAATATAACCGACAACATTATCCTGAAAACCAGTGAACTGCATATTAATACGTAAAATACTTAAAAACGACATTCATTCGCAAATATTGTTCAAAGAATATAGATTTTCACAATCGTAACCTTAGACGTGCCCATGATATATACATACAACAAGTTAGAACAGAGTATGGTAAGAAAAATATAATGTTTGATGGTGTGAAACTGTATAACGCTTTACCTAAAAATATAAAAGAATAAAAAACATTATCTTTATTTAAAAACTTATAGAAACGCCATATTTTGGAAAATTTACCAATAAATACAAGGTAATATTAAATCTAAATCAGTTTGTACGCACCCTTATTTCTGTTTCGGTTGCATTAATTGTTCGGTCATTATAATTTGTGCGCGATGTTCAAACCTATTTAATTGTTTACGTTTTACCCACATCTATAGTCAATATTCTGTATGCTCGTAATGGATTCTTTATTATTGTTTGTAAATTTTTAATTTCTCGTAAGCGATTTGTTTTTGAGAAATAAATAACAACTTAAACCTAAACCTAAATAATAAAACTACGGCTGCTAACCGCGTGCAAACTGTGGCAACTATGATACGTATCCTCTTATGCAATTTATGGATCTATTTCCTATGATTAGGGTATAATGAATTAATTAATTAATTTAAAAAATTTGGATTCCAAGCAAAACGTCAAGTATGTTTTCTTAGAAATAAAATATATAGTTATAAAAATAAAAAGATTCGTACCTGTACTGTTCTTTCCCAGTCGGTGTACTCGTTGACAATTGTAAAGAATATTTCGCTTAAATGATATGTATAAGCATTTCTTACATATGTTCTGAAACAAACGTGAATAATAGAAAACCAAAGAATAAATCTTAATTATTATTAACCTAATATTTAAACATGAGAAATGCAGGTCACTGAAAACCATGTTTTGTGCCATCTTTGGGAAAGACAGTTCAGCGATGGACCTGTGAAGGGCTGTAATAAAAATAATAATGATTATAACGATTATGATCATAGTGTTCATATTCATTATGAAAGTATACCGTTTAGTGACAGCATGGGAGTAAACAAAACTCCCTTTCGTCCCGTGGACGCGCGTTAGGAAGGGACGTTCAGGTTTTAAGGCCAGAAAGGCCTAATGGCTTCTATTAAGATACGGTAATATTGTTTTAAAAAACAGGCCTCCCGTGTTGTGGCAGCGTTTGTAACTTCTGTACCTCGTTATGTCCTGTGAGTGTCATATACGATAACTTTGGGAAATGGCAGAAAAAGCTCATTCGTGTCTAGTAGGGGACTATTACGAGCTGAGAGAGAAAAATATTATGAAACGAATTGTAAATTGATTTTATTTTCCTTTGCTTTTATTATACTGCTCCCTCAAACCGAAATAGGCGAAAGTAGTTTTAATTATTTGAGTTTATTGGAGTTTAATTATTCATAATCGTTTCATATTATTTAGCTCACGGTATGAAAAATAGAGGGGTAGTATAAAATCAAGCGTTAATCAAAAGTGAAGTCGTTATGGTTTTCCTCTGCGCAACATAGTCACGCATTTCGTAGTGCAAAATGAATAATAAGATATAAGTCATATCTTTTACGTTATACCTTTTATCAAATCAATATAAATGAATACATGAGTTCATTTACCACCACCATTTTCACCTGATGGTAAGTGGTTGCTGTGGCCCATAGACATCTAGATCTATCCTCGATTAGAAATCAAAATGCATATGCATTGTCACCCATGAGGACTATGATGAAATGCCTCGTTTCCAGTAAAAAAGGTCTCTAGTTATCTACACTCACCATACGAAACACGGCAGCATTAAGCTACTATTTTACGCTGGTATTCTGTGAGAGCGTGGTCCTTTCCCGGTCGAGCCGACCCATTCGTGCTAAAACTATATTTCTAATATAACTGCAGCATGGCTCTACCACGTCCCTTCGCCTACTATATATTTTAAGTAGGAAACTCCAGTCACGCGACGGAACTGACATGGACAATTTTTTTTAATCATTATCAGGAAGATTCTCCTGTTCATCTCATATTTTATTTTCCTCTGTCACGACACCCAAGGGGTAATGTAGGGTAATGATTTCTTTTACTCTGCTGCGAAGCTAATATATTTAAGATTCCAGAGCTTTTACTTACCTTTACAGTAAAAAATTAATTTACCCATTTCAATCTCTAGCTCAAATTGGTTTAGGTTTATTTAAGTGAGTTAATACAGAAAAAAATATAACAAAATATAAAAACAGAAAAGCCAATAGGGAAACGCTATTTCACTGCAAATTAAATGCCAAACAAATATTCTACGTACCTTATTATCCTGTCACGTCTTTCCCCCTCGAAACCGTTTTGTATATCCTGCGCCGAAAATTTCCAAAGCGCCTCACTAGTTACTACACCAAATAGTAGATCGTATTTATTCTGTCCGCCTCTTATTCCGAAAATCCTATCTCCTGCTCTTTTGTCAGCTTTGAAATTATTTACTCCTGATACACTCGTAAAACCTTGTAAATCATTAGGTATGAAGAACGTCAGCAATTCCTTAGCGTAGTCAGTTTTCACAACTACACCATCCACTGACGGCCCAAAAGAAGTCAAGTAACTTGACGTACTAATTTCAGCCGACATCAGCTCATGTAATGGAACTTCTCGAAGGCAGTCAACAATGAGCTCGTGGTCTTGGACAATATCATCGGGAAGAGTACAATTACACTGTTTGGCCAGTTGGACGGAATAGCTGACGGGATCTTCGACTAACGCCCACGAACTAAGCGCTGAACCAGAAAGAAGAATTGAGCGATGAAAAAGACCTGAAAGTTATATACAATATTATTTAATAATAAAATATGCATATATTATTATATCTATATTTAAGACTGCAGATAAAGATGTAAGCTCTAGACTGTAGATTTTCGTGCAATATCTCAATTTATTTATTTTAAATTCCATTAGAGCCTATTATATTCTTTATATTGCATTCGAATATCTAATAATATATGAATTAATCATAAGTTTATGTATACGTTTTTGATTTTAGGAACTAACATTTATAAATCAACTCCCTAGCAAACAATCTTTGCTCTCAGCTTTCATTGCTTAACCGGACTACCACAATTTTTTATAAATAATTAATAATAATTAATTCCGTCCTCCATGGTGGCACTACTCCAGAGGCGTGGAGCAGAAGTGCGGTGGTCTTGTTCTTTAAGAAAAGCGACAACGCTCTCTTGAAGAACTACAGACCGATTTCCCTTCTGAGCCGCGTCTACGTGCTATTTTCGAGAGTCATTACGAATCGTCTCGCACGCAGACTTGACGACTTCCAGCCTCCCGAACAAGCCGGTTTCCGAAAAGGCTTCAGTACCATAGACCACATACATACCTTGCGGCAGTTTGTACAGAAGACTGAAGAGTACAATCTGCCACTTTGCCTGGCGTATGTGGACTATGAGAAAGCCTACTATCCCTTCTACAATCCCTTCAGCGGTGCCAAGTTGACTATCGGTATATCGAAGTACTTTGTGTTTGTACAGTAGGGCTAAGATGGCTATCCGAGTATAGAACCAGAGCTCGAAACCTATCCAACTGCAGATAGGAGTAAGACAGGGTGACGTTATATCCCCGAAAGTCTTCACCGCTGCATTGGAAGACGTTTTCAAGCTACTGGACTGAAAAGAATACGGTATTAACATCAATGGCGAGTACATCACTCACCTTCGATTTGCCGACGATATAGTCCTTATGGCAGAATCACTGGAGGACTTAAGCACTATGCTCAACGACCTCAATTGTGCCTCCCGACGGATAGGTCTTAAGGACAAAACAAAGATTATGTTTAATGTCCATGTCACACCTATGCCGGTAGTTTTTGGGAGCACTATGATCAAAGTTGTTGACGAGCACGTTTACCTGGGACAAATAGTCTGACTAGGGAAGTCCAACTTCGACCGAGAGGTCAATCGACGAATTCAACTCGGCTGGGCACCAGTGCGTGTTGCCAGTGATAACTTACGGATCAGAGACGTGGTCCTTCATTGCTGGCCGTATGAGGACGCTCAAGGTCGCTCAGCGAGCTATGGAAAGGGCTATGCTCGGAGTTTCTGTGCGTGATAGACTCAGAAATGAGAATATCCGCAGTAAAACCAGAGTGACCGACATAGCCCAACGGATTAGTAAGCTGAAGTGACAATGGGTCGGCCATATGGCTCGAAGAACCGAAAACCGATGAGGAAGAAAGGTTCTCAAGTGGCAGCATCGTACCGGTAGGCGTAGTGTAGGGCGACACCACACTAGATGGAGTGACGACCTGGTAAGATATGCAGGAAGTCGATGGATGCAGGTGGCTCAGAACCGTGCTTTGTGGCATTACTTGGGGGAGGCCTATGTTCAGTAGTAGACTTGTGAAGGGCTGTAATGATGATGATGATGATAATAATAATTAGCTGTGGTTTGACCTGTTATCAGCGACTAAGCAGTTTTGTTCAACATTAAAGCCTGCATGCATCAACTATGTAGTCTCGGCTCAGCTCGGCGATAAATTTTGAAAATTTCTATTAATCCTCTATGTTTTAAAAATTATTTGTCTGGAGCAAGAGCTGTTATTGCATTTCTCGAACAGTTTGGCAACTAACTTATAATTACAGTACAATCAAAAAGTAGTGAATTTAAAATAAAGTACGTAAACTAGGTCCTAAGTGGTAATATTGTATATTCATTTCTAAAAGTAAGTCGTTCCTATTGTCGTCTGAGGTTTGTATTAATTTTTTTGTGTCATAATGTTTAAATAATATGACACATTCAGTCAAAAGAGTATCAAGAATGGATGGTTTGTTTATGTTTTTTGTTGTTGTTCGATTGGCATAACTGTTCTTTATTTTGGCGCGGAGTTTGTGTTACATTTTTTATTGATTAAAACTACTTTTACAGATTTTATCGCATTAAATTTTAGTTATTTTTAATTTTTTTTTCGGTGCTTTCTAGCACCCATGGTCTAGGGAGACTGAGATGACTGACGTCCCGATGTTATTGTGAAACCTGGAGTATCTTCAGCTTTTTTAACAATTACATCGAGACGTCAGCCATCTCAGTCTCCCGTGACCGTGGGTCCTGGAAAGCACCTGAAACGTCGGGAATTAAAAATTATTAAAATTAAACGCGATAAAATCCGTAAAAGTAGTTTTAATCAATGTATAGTTTTCGCGTAAATACAAGAAATCATTACATTTGTTATTTAGGTTATATACAGTGCTGTTTTTAATTATATCATGTCTAGTTTGTATTGCGAATTTCACAATGGGCAAAAGCATCGAACAAAAAGCTTATCATAAATTTTGCATCACCAAAGGAATTTCATGTTCCGAAGTCACTGAAAATGTTATAAAGAGCTTAAGGTAAATCAATTTTATCAAAAACACTTACTCGTGATTGGTAAAAAGCATTCAAAAGCGGTCGTGATATGATGGAAGATTTGCCTCGCTTCGGTAGGTCATCAACGTCTATAACTGAAGTTAACATCGGAAAAATGAAGGAAATAGTAACTGAAAATCCTCATTTAAATTTGATACAGATAGCCGCCAAATTTTCTATGTCTCACGACTCGCTCCGTAATATTTTAAATAATCACTCGGGAATGAAACATGTTGCCGCACGGTGGGACCTAAAAGACCTGAATTTTCTCCAAAAACTCTATCGCGTTAGAGTCGATGAGAACATACTAGAACAAGTCAATCCGTACTCAACATTCATGAAATGCATTTTTAGTGGTGACAAGACGAGGGTTTACGAGTTTGACATGCAAAATGGTGAACAATCTTTGGAGTGGCGCCTTTCAACTGAATCGAAACCGAAAAAAACACACCAAAGTCGATCAAAAGTCAAAGTCAATTTAAGTGTTTACTTTGACTATTGCGGTGATATGCACTCGAAAATTTTTGCCGGGAGATCAAACGGTAAATAGAAAATATTATTTGAACGTTATGCAGCGTTTATGACAGCAAATTCGACAAAAAAGGCCAGATTTCTAGAAAGAAAATTCCTAGATTTTGTACCACGATAATGCGCCTTCGCACGTGACCATCATTGTGAACGAATTTTGGATCAAAAAGTCAACAAATACCATCAAGCAACCACATTATTCACCAGATATGGCTCCAACTGACTTACTTCATTCTCTTAAACTCAAATTACTATTTCGTGGCACCTGTTTTCATTCGATAGAAGACATAAAGGAGAATTCTCAGCAAGAACTGAACTTAATTCCGGTAAAAGATTAAAAAAAATGTTTTGATAATTGTATTATTCTTTGGAGTAAGTGCATCGCTTCTGAAGGAGTAAACTTGGAAGACGACAGAACAAAATTGGATGAGTAACTAACGTTTTGTGTATTATTGATCCTTTACCTGTACTTTCTAGACAGACTATAACATGAATTGATCGAAGTTAGTCACTTTTAAATTTCATTCATTTAAATACATCAGATATATCCATAGAAAATAAAAAAATAACTTACCAGGCATAACTGTCGGTGAAATCATCAGAAAATTTATGCATGCAGCGCCTGAACCATGACCTAGCATAGTGACATTACCAGCGTCACCTCCAAATAGAGCAATATTTTGTTGTATCCAATGCAGCGCTGCTATCTGATCCATAAGCCCGTAATTTGCTACCCGAGCTTTTACGTGTGGTATTGGATTTGCGTTTAAAAAGCCTGTAGACGAAGTTTTTAAATTATATCCTTTTACTTTTCCCTTACTCAGTTTAAGAATTAAATTTATTATTGTTCAAAAGAGAATACCGTTTTTTGTTATCAACTGTCAGCAAAGAAGTTTATATTATTTGATATTTTGTATCATACATTTATTCATTTCATTAATAATAAACAGTATATTTACATCGACCTGCTAATGACACGTATAACTTAAAAAAAATTGGTTAAATTTGCATGTTCTTGTTTTATTTATACGTAAATGCCTGGATTATTAATTCTGCAATTAATTTATTTTCAATAAAGGTAGACCAGTAGACAAAACAGCAATTTAAACTTTATTATGTACCATATTTTTGTGTTGCTAAGGTCTAGTTATTTGTTTAAATTAAATTTAAGGATATTTATATTATAAAATGTGGATACATTTCATTCATTTTTAGTTTTCGTAAATTCGTTTTAAACATTAATAAACCGGTTCAACCATTAATATGATACTGAAATTTTTACAATCGTCGTCATATTTATAGCTCATTACAACTCTACGGTTTAACATATCCTTTAATAATTTCTCGTCATAAAACAAGGTCTGGATAAATATTTTATACTCTAACACTTTCTACTTTTCGCATGAACTTTATTGTCAAGCTCAAAATAACATATTATGTAATATATCGGTAAAGATAGATTAAAAAATACAAAAATAATCGCAGCCATTTTTCACACACAAATTTTTCGCTTTCCTGTAATTTGAAATATCTTACCCAGTATGCCAAGTCGGTAGTTGATAGTGATGACCACAAGACCGGCGTAACTGGCCAATACAGCTCCGTCGTAAACATTACCCGAATTCCATTCAAAAGATTCTCCGTGAATGAAAATCACAACCGGATACTTCGCTTGTAATGTCGGACCCACTGCAACAAATTAGTATATATACAGCGGTCAGCTACCGCAGAGTTTACTTGACTCTAAACAAGGTAAAACACGTGTGATATTATCGACGGTGGTGTGTCTTTTCAACACAGTGATGTTGGAAGTAATTAATGTTGGGATAAGTGAAGAGAGACGGGGATAACACAAGACATTGAGATAATACGGAAGGTACACTCCAAACTAGATAAGACACATTATTCTATTTTATTGCGCGGATTAAAAACTAATTAATTTTCTACATATTGAATATTTTATATATTGTAAAATGTTAAATTTACTATCATTCCCTGTTTGAACAGCAGTAATTTAAACGGAAATATACGTTCTGAAAAACGTTTACGAAGGCTCATTATTGCTGTAGTGCTCATTATCTCTAACATTTTCTTAAGTTCAAATGCTATAGCCTCAATCGATGTTATAAATAAAATAGAGAAAATGTAGACATTTTTGTTGAGCTATCGTACAGTTAAAGCCTACCAAAAGTCCCCTGCTGATCTACGCCTAACGCGTTGATTGCCTTATAGGAGGGATATTTGCCGTAGTTGCCACGCTTGGCAAGCGGATTTGCATATTTTCCATATGCTCACCCATCATATCCCCCCAGGATATTTGGCTTTTGTTATCAGTGCTTGTTTCCGTCTTTGTCAACAATGCCACTTACTACCAGGTTGGATAGTAATCAAGCAATTCCAATATTAAAAGAATAATATCACGTACGTAAGATTAGATTGAAATAAGTTACATGTTTTGAAAACTAAGCGTTTCTAAGGAAGAAAAAGTAGAAGATGAATGTACCCCAATAAATCGTAAAATGTGTAAATTAAACTTTTAATAAAATCTAAAATCCGACTGCTAAGACATGGTGTAAAATAATTAAAATTCAAAATTTCGACGGAGTTTACTACGGAGTTTTTGTGGCATACCACAAGTTAAAAGTTGTGTAAATAGTTATGTACATTAATAATTTCATCAGATATTTTTCCACTCTTAGGAATGAATTAAATTCTCTAAATTTATATTGAATCATTCTTTAAGTACAACATAAATAACAAAAAAAAAAGAATCACAAAAATCGGTTCGCTCACGGTAATATTACTAAAAATGCAGTCGGATCTTGAATCTTCATCTTTGTTTAGTCGGCAATACAGTTATTTTTTATATGTTATGAATAGGTTTAACAAAAATATGAAGGTTATTTCAAATTAAATGAATTATATGATAGTTGATATTATATGATAGTTACAATTATATTATTATATGAAAGTTACAATTTCATATAATTATATGAAATTGTAATCGATTGAATTCAATTTTTCGTGACAATTCGAAAATCGTCGAGCAACACCAAATCATCTGAAGTTACAGCGTTTTAGACTAAATATCTTAAAAATAGCTTTAACAACCAAAATGAAAATAAACTACGGCTGTAGTAATGTTTTATATATAATACAAAAAATTACAACAAAAATAACAAATCGATGCACTTTTATGCTATCGTTTTCGATTTTTAATTACAGCATAGGTGTTTGAACAATACAAAATTATAACAATAATACAAATCGGTAAATACAACTTAACTTTTTCTATTCACTTGTGTTCTTAATACTCTATCTTTGTTTCAACCCTCAGTATCGCATGTCACGCTCCAGATAAGTTTCTTTTGGAAACAATCCAACAATATACAAAATATTTTTTCCGGTGAGTGAAATTGAGAGCTGATGTACATTATTTTTTTGAACTTCTACATTTACTGCGAATAATCATCACATTAACAAGCAGTAAATGAAAGAACTCCTAGTTAACTATTTCCAAGGTATTGATTTATATTCGTTTGTAAGCTTTTGTTAAATCATACAAAAGTACAAAATAGAAACGACCACACAGTGCATAATGGCAAGTCGATTCTGTAGTCCATGGACACCTATATATTCTATCCTCGATTAAAAATTAAAGTGCATATCGACATGGGAAAGCAATATAGGTATTTTTCCTACTTACAAGTAGGAAAAATACCGAAAATGACTTTAAATATCCATCAGATTCAGAAAAAATCTATGTTGAATTGTACGGGTCATGTATTTCTGCGACAGTAAAATCTCTTCCATTTTAAATAAAACTAATTTTACGGACTTTATAGACCTTTATTTAATTTATTTATACTTGTTTTGATTCCATGCATTTGAGGTGTTTTACGTTGGCACCCATAGTCGCAGGGGGAGGGGAGGATTAAATTATGTGACGTCTTAATTGGATAGCTAACTCAAGCTTCCTTCAGCTTTTGAGTATTATTTTAAGGTATAATTTTATCTCGTTTCATTGTATTTTATTTAACTCCTGACTTTTCCAGTACTTTACAACACCCATTGACAACACAGCTGGAGTAAAGTGTTTAATTTCCCTGTCCATGTCATAGTTAACCAGGGCTATTTTCAGCTTTTGAATTTTAATAGTTAGTTTGGAAGGAGCTTACGGCATCTTAAAGTCTTGAAGTAGTATTCTTGGGTTTGGAGTTATTTTATTAATCATAGGATAAGATTCCAAGCAAATAGTAGCTTCCGCGACCGTCTCTGTTGAAATTTGTTACGGGTGAAACGCGTTTGCATTTTGATTCGTAATGGAGAATAGATATTAATATCTATGGGCCATAGTAACCATTTGCCATTAAGCGGACTGTGTGCACCTTTGTCACACTTATCCTAAAAAAGGAAAATTTCTATCTCACGTTTTTGCAAAATAGTCACATTTCAAAGTTGTCCCTTTCAAGACATAACTTCTATTTTTAACTGTGACTTAAATTTTGAAAATGGAGCTCGAAAGCGTTTTCCAGCGGTGTGTGTGACTGACATTTTATTACCTTCATAATTGAACACTATTTAATTTAAATTTTTAGTTAAATGTAATTTAATTAAAGTGTGTTGTCAATGTTATGTATTTCATATAATTTCTTATCAAATAAATCTTAATATATATAAATTACGTGTCACGTTTTTTGTCCGCGATGGACTCCTAAACTACTTAACCGATATTAATAAAATTTGCACACCGTGTGGAGTTTGGTCTAACTTAGGGAAGATAGGATAGTTAAAAAAAACAACTAAAAAAGGAACAATATAGTAGGTACTTTTCTATAACAGACATTTTATTTAAATTAGCTTTGTGCATAATAACGTTAACGGTTGCCATAATTTTCACGCTTGGTAAGCGGATTGGCAACCGCAGTTTTATTTTTAGGCGAAACTCTTGGTTTGTTTCCCTCTGTCGCGTATCCTTACACTGTCCCCTATGAGGCAGTTTATAGGGAGACATATATTCAGCAGTTTAATTTAATAAGAAGTAATGTTAATTGTTAATCACTTTTAAATTATTTTAATGCGTTTTGAATTTTGCTCCTTGACTTAACCAGAGGAATTATTGCATAAATTATAAAATTATATTTTAACATTTTTTTTCTTAACAAAATAGTATATTATAATATTTCAGAGTCAAAGGGCTCTTATGTCTATAAACATTTTCACAGTTTTAGTCTTGTAGAATTTTAAGAGATTGTGGCATGATACTTAACGCTATGACATGTGCCCTTTGGCAGAAAGGTAAAGCGGTACGGAGACATTTTTGATTTTTAAATAATATATCTTCTCTCTACAAATACGATATGTTCAATAACCTCAATAATGTCTTCTAATTAATATATTTGAATAACATGGAAAAGATCGAAAGTAGATGGCATACATACATGCATGACATACGTAAATAGGAGAAGGATGCACATGCAGACCTATCAACCATACGTTGTTAGAAACAGTAAGCTTTAATTCATTCAACAGACTCGACTCGGTTAAACATCATTCGAAAGACAGCGACACATATTCCAGTCACGTATTAAATTGAAGTGACAATAGGCCAGCTTGAAGAACTGATAACTATTTGGGAAGAAAGATCCTCGAGTGGCAGCTCCTTACCGGTAAGCGAAGTGTAGAGCAGCCCACATTAAAACTAAATAGCATCTTAAAAAGATGCTAAAGACTGTTGGACTAACAATAAATTTGGCGATTTATCTATTAAAAATCAGCAACCATGAGTTTTTGCTCAAACAAATATGCAGTTGTGGAACCCAATATTTACTTCGTATTAGCTAGGCTTCATGTTGAATTTTATAAGGGCGTGGTGATAAATCTAAAGATATAAAAAACATAAACTGCGATTGTCAAACCATTACCAAGCACGGCAGCTATGACAAATATCCCCTCTACGGGGCAATCTAAGGGCAAGGCCTGTCTATGTTTAGAAGTGGAACTTAATAAGATGTTACGGTAACGGTGATGATTTAAAAGTTTTCTTGTTATTGTTACGCTGAAAGTTACGCTCAAAAATATTCGATCGCAGTCGTAAGTGTCGATGACATCGGATTTATTCACTAGCATAGTCGGTGATAACGTATGTTTAAATGTAATTTGATTTTTAATTGATAGATGTAGGTATCTAAGAGCTCATAATTAATTTACCATCAGAACGAATGTGTGCTGCGATAAACAATCACTTTTACCCGTATAAAAATACTAGAAATTAAATTGTTTATAAAAGAACTAAAGTAAGAGCTTTAAGCCCTTACCTAAGTTTTTTTTTAACTAAGAATTAGTGAGATTTGCAATGTAAACGAAGGCTTACAATCGCAAATAATAAGCCTACTATTAAAAGAACAAAGTATACAATAATAAATCACATTCTATATATTATATGCTTACCTTGCACAGGTGTATAAATATTCATATAAAGGCAGTCTTCGCTTTGGTTTTTCAGTCGAGGAAGTAGCCGACGTAAATACTCAAGGCGACCCTTTGGCATCCTTTCTAATGCTTGAGTCTCATTAGAAATATCTGGCAAACGTTGTGGACAAACCGGTCCCATTTGATCCACAGTCTTTACATCATCCCAAGGCGCAGGCGCCCGTGTTGGAGCAAACCTATTTAATTAAAAATACTAATAAATAAATAATTTACTATTCAATATTTGGATTTATATGTAACCAAAGTTTCTAATATACTCCTACATTGAAAATTTTTCCTATAGAAATATAATGATAATCTCAATAATAATGTAATATCCCCCAAAAAGAATTTTGATCACGGCGGCTATTCTCAACGAACACTAGCCATAAGCGCAGGACACGATTATAGTGCCCGAGTTTATGCTCTAGCACAAGTTAACTCTCTATTTTTTCACTCTAATAGTCCGATGGGTTGGTTATACGACACAACTGGAAAGAGATTAGGTACAGGACTTAGAATGGCTTACGTGCTTTCCGAGGCACGGGGGTAAAACATTTCCTGACTCCGTGCTGCTGCTTAAAATTTCTTGCCAGAAAAATCCAATAACCAAATCTAGCTCGACCCACGATTCGAACACCTTATGATCAGCAACCAGGTTTACGACCACTGGACCAACGAGGCAGTCAAGTCCTTAAATATAAATACTAAGACTACAAAAATGTTATAATGATGTTTAATGTAGTTAGAAGCAGTCTTGTATGCAGTCGAGCGTGAAATAAGCACGACGAAGTTCATGTAAACGCGTAGAAACGCTTCCTTTGACACTCCAGATATCAGTCTAATCTATCTTAGTAGCTATAATTCTGTTGAATAACGGTTGAGTTATTTTAAATTAAGTTGTTGTAAAAATGTACCCATAACTCGATGCAATCTGGTATTTTTTTAATATTTTACAATTCTAAGCCAGCTCTTGACTACTAACCTACTATGGTAAGTGGTGATGCAGCCGAAGATGGTGAAGTACACTGATTTAAGAAAATCCTAATAACTTTCGCCTTGAAGATACCCACATTGTAACTGGATGCAAAGACAGACGCTGGCAAATTATTCCACTTCTTTGATGTACGTATTACGGTCGATAAAACAAACCGATTGGTTTGATTGTATGTCGATAATGGAAAGATGGAGATTGGCCAAGCGTCTGGTTGGTAGAAGCAAGAGGGAGGAATTAACTAATGCGATTCCGGCGAACACTCTGTAACCTATTATTTAGACATTTCAATCACATAATAATAATTTTTGTGTTAAGTCTTTTTGATAATCCAAGATATTGCGGGCAGAGAAGAAGATATGTTCTCCCCTGTCCTCCGTAGGCGACGTGGAGTAGCAAGAGAAGACTTTAGTATGGCAATGTGCCAATTACCCAATATTCTGTGAATCTGATGGAGTCGCACTTCTGATACAGCGGTAGTGATGACTATCTGTATATTCCTTCAGATATTCCTTACATCGTTACAACCATACTTGCCTATGAAAAAGCCTATGAATGCTATATAGAGTATCTCAACGATGTGTTTTCTCTGCAAATAACTTTCTCATCTGCTATAGTTCTGTGTACTTAGATACGCAGACGTCAGCATAATATAGGATCAAATTCGTCATCATTACAGCATATTACAAATCCACTGCTAACCATAGATCTCTCCCAATTAGTACCAGGAAACACGGTCCTGATGCATTTATCGCTTTCCTACAAGCTTTACAAGATTGTCATTCCATTTAGTGGGGTCACTTCGTTTACCTAAACGAGGCTGCCACACTAGAACCTTTTTTCTACATCGGTTGTCGGTCAGAGAAACACCGTGTACTTCACAGTTCGCTAAGCAACATTAGGGTTATTGTTACAGATAGCAGCGTAGGATCCCGTATCGGATCTCTATATCATCACTGGAAACGTGCTGGATTGGATTGACTGGATTGACACTTGTTTTCAAGTTTCGAAGTATACGTGGCGAGAATATGTATCGTAATCTCCCGTGTTCAGCCCAGTCGAGTTGAACCCGTCGTTTGATCCCTTGGTCGTTGTACTTGGACGATTACTCTAAACATACTCGTTAAGAAATTTGAGCGTAGAGCTCCCAGCAAATACCGAAGTAGGTGTGACATGGACATTACACATAATTTCTCCTGTCAATGTTGATCTTAAGAACTATTGCTTTGTAGATACTACTGAAGTTGTAGATATTAGTATAAATCGGAATGTATATCAGTCTAGTGCATAGCATTATTGGCAATAAGTACTGTCTTATCGCTAATCTATATTTTAGTGTTTGAAACTCGCTAGGCTCTAATATGGGCTTCAATTTACAAGATTCATTGACATTAAAACACAATCGGTCCAATTCACTGCTAAGGGGAGCCCTTTCATTTTGGCACCTATTTCTATGGAGGTCGCATTAACAATAACTTTGGTTGATTAATTAAAACATAAATAGCTTAAAAAACAGGATACCTATTGAAAGTACCCCAATGCTTCATTTCAGAAGAGTTCTATCCATTCACCGCGTCTAAAGTTAAAATGATACCTACTGTTTGAGACAGTACTTAACTATACCGTAAGCCTTAATATATTGATATTGTTTACTATTCGCGCTGAAACAATAGAGGTTATGTAATTAGTAAACAGATACATACCTATTAGAACCTGTGGGTGGCGTGGCATATGGTACTCCAAGATATGCCTCTACTGGTTTTAAGTACTTATGTTGATCCATTGGCAAAATCACACCTTGTAATTTACCGTACCTTGTACCAATAATTCTAGTCCTTAACATAGAATTCCTGCCTCCACTATAACTACTTCCATTTGAATTTACACTAAGTAATAAAACTAACAAAACTGTCAATTTCGCTTTATCATTAAAGTCTAATTTCAAAATTAACTTAGAATTTACGGAGTTTTTCCACTTTATTGATTTTTTTTCTAAACATACTTCTATCGCGAACCATAGCAATTTGATTGAATTGCTAAGATGTAATGGCAGTCCTTGGTAGGCCATTTTCATCGAGTATCACCTTTGAAGTCCCATTTCTCATTCTCTAATTATTGTGCGACTGATCGATGTCATTTGACGATTCATAACATTTTACTTTCGCTCATAAAATATTTCTTTTGACTCTGTTTCTTGGTGTTCATTGTACGGAATCTGTAACAAAATATATTATTAAAATTATGAAACATGTATAATAAATCTTTATTGCTATAAATATTAGTAAGAGTAAAATAAAAAAAGACTACCTATATGTTTTATTTCCTTATAAATTATATTTAGTCAACTAAACATTTAAATTATTAAAACAAAACGTTTATTTAACTATTGAATTATTCTAACTCTATTGAAAGCAAGTTATCCATAAAAACCTAAATGTTTAGGCAAATATCTTAAAACATGATAAAATTTATAACATAATTAAATTAAATGAAATACATTTATTTCTTTGTTCAAGTTCAAGTAAATAAAATTTCGTTCGGTAAATGTCATTTTATTAAAGCTACATTCGTTTCGAAATTTGTTTCTTTGAGCCAGAGAAAAAATGGCTAAAAAACTGCAGGTAGCCTCTTCTTAGTCTTTTTTTAAGTTAATGTAACAATAACAGATAACATCATATTAACAACAACAAACGTAACAGACTTATCGGTAGCTGATTATTGCACTTAACTTAAAGGCAACAGAGGAAAATGGGTAAATAATAAATAAACTTAAAGGTGTGCAGAAGCATTTTCCAACTAACGATTTAAAGAAATAAAAACTGCTGTTGTCAGGCGCGAAAAATTACAATTATGGCAAATATCTCCCTTTGAGAAAATCAATGATGAGGCCTATGTTCAGCAACAACTCTTATCAACTTTTAATGATGAGAATAAATATAATTCATATAGTTATCTAAAATAAAATAAAACAAAATAGTAGGTTATTATAATTACAAATATACATTACATAATTTTATTTCACTTTACTTCAATTGTACAGCATATAGGATTACAGTTGTTGCACGTGCTTTCACGTTAATACGGCTTACTTACGTGAAAGCGCGTTAACATAATGACGTCGCAAACACGGCAGTCATCCTTGGCGTGGAGCATGTTTTGGAGCCACGTGACATTTTTATTTTATATATTTTCATTAAATAATAGTCTGTTTTTAAAAACACAATTTTGTAGGTTACAAAATAATGCAGTACATTTATAATAGTTTTTGAAGTGGAAATTTCTTTAGCATCGTTGTGATTTTAAACTGGATGAAAGGAAAATGTGACACTAAAAATATACAAACATATACATCTTTATTGCCTTGATTTGGCCTGCCTGGGAATGAGAGAGAATACTATGTAACGTGCTACAGTAGCCTAATGCCAGTGTGCGCACCGCGAACTCGAGAGGTTGTGGGTTCGAATCACGTGCAGATTTTTATTTTTAACTTACCAATAGTGGTTAAAGGCAATTTTGGTAATGTTAATAGCATTGCTAGTGATTTCTTATATTTACGCGAACAATACACATTTAAATTTTATTTATTTTTTTATTTATTTATTTATTAACATATTATACAGAAAAAAAGAAAAAAACGCAAACCGCCAAAAACCCGAACAGGGGCCCCCCCAAACCCCCCTAAAATAATACTAGATTATACGGATTTTATTTTATTCCAAACGTCGAAACGTCGGGTATATAAAAGGGTTAATATACGCGATAAAATCCTTAAAAACTAGTACCTATTATTTAAAAACATTGTTAGTATACAATAGAATAGTGTTTTCTATAATTACGGTCTTCTCTTTTTAAGATGCTTCGAAGTTAGTTAATATAAACTTTAAAATTTAAAATTGTTTATTTTGTTAAGAACTTTTTTATATAAAATAAATAAAATTAATCATCTTGAAGAAACTTATCATATCAAATTCATTCATAACAATCCACGATTTCGTAGCTTACCGACGTATTTGAAATTATTCGTGTTATGTCATCTAGTGCATTTATTCTATAACACTTTGTAAATCTATCAATTTTTGTTCGGTAATATTACTTTACCTACAGAAATAAATCTACTTCTTTCCGTACCTTATCGCTATTACAAAGCAATTTTACTCGAAAGAAAATATTCATTTGATGTATTAGTCTAAAAATAAGGATTGTAATGTTACAATCCTAAAAAAGAGGCTAGAAATATAAAATACTAGATTAATTTATAGCAAGTTAATGTCAACTTGCTATAAATTAATCTTTTATCTTATATTTTAGCATATGTGGTTAAGAACGATTAAATAAATCATTTACCGTGAAATATTTTTTATTTTATATTTCATTTCGTATTAAGGTATTACTTCTACGGCGTGTAGTTCACACACACACATGCTTTTTTTTTACAAATTTTTTTTTAAGTCATTCAAACGATTGTCATTTGAAAGATTTGTGTCGGAATAATAAGTAAATAAAATACAAGTTGCTGTATTTTTCGCTACAGAGCTAAAAATTTAAGCATAAAACTAGACAGCATAAGTCTCAGATACGACCGCCGCGCCCGGTTTTAATTAATTATTGGCGGAAATTCAACGTCAACACGTTTTAACGTAATAATATACACACGCATCCAATTTTAAAGGTGATCCACGAATATGGTAAAGAACTCACTAAAGGTTTCACTCTATTATTTTGCCATTAAAGCTGAAAAAGTGAGCTGGTCATTATATTGATAGAGGTAATTAAATGAATAAAAATATTTTACTTGAAAAATTTGCTGATAGGTTTATTTTTGTAATATATTATTGACCTAATTAATTCGATTGAAAAAGAAGCCAGATATTTTAATATTACCAGCCAGATATTTTAATTTAACGCATCAGTTTCATTTATAAATTTACTTATTGCTGTAGATTTTGCTCCAAAATGAATTATTTCATGTTAACTCTATTATATTATATTAGTACCCAGCTCTTATACAAGGTTAATGTTAAAGTGGAGTCGACCGAGCCGACACATTTGTACCACAGCGATAACTGCAGCTTATCTTTGCCACATAAATATATACCATTTTTGTCCCAGAGTGAAGGTTATCCTCCTTCTAACGAGGTCGGGTATGCATATTTTCCCTTTTTCTTGTCACCTTCAATAAACTAAAAGGCTTAACGAGTCTTTATTAATTTCATTTCTTATAAATGACCCAGGATTCATTTTATGGTAATTATAAAAACGTGAGAAGATATGTGTGTCAATCGATTAAAAATAGACTATAGCAGCTGGTTTCAATTTATTAATAACAAGCGACCCGCTAGGCTTCGCCAGGATAGGATTGCCAGTATAGGATGAAGGAAAACATTGTGAGGAAACCGGCATGTCTTACAAATAATAAAAAAAATAATTTAATAAGACAAATTTATGGTAATAATAAAAACGTTAAAAGATTTTTTGTCAATCAATTAATAATATATTATTGTAGCTGGTTTCAATTTATTAATAACTAGTGACTCGCTAGGCTTCGCCAGGATGGGATTGCCAGTATAGGATGAAGGAAAACATTGTGAGGAAACCGGCATGTCTTACAAATAATAAAAAAATAATAATTTAATAAGACAAATTTAAAGTAATAATAAAAACGTACTGGTTGTATAATTTCGTTTTCAGGTTTTGAGGTATACCTGACGAGAAGATGTAACGTAATTTCCCGAACGCTGCCCAGCCGAGTTGAATCCGTCGATTGACCTCTCGGTCGAAGTTGGACTTAAGTAGTCAGACTATTTGTCCCAGGTAAACGTACTCATCAACAACTTCGAGCTTAGTGCTCTCAACAACTACCGGCATAGGTGTGACATGGACATTAAACACGATCTTTGTTTTGTCCATGTTCATCTTAAGATCTATCCGTTGGGAGGCACTATTGAGGTCACTGAGCATAATGCTTAAGTCCTCCAGCGATTCTGCCATAAGGACTATATCGTCGGCAAATCGAAGGTGAGTGATGTACTCGCAAATGATGTTAATACCGTATCCTTTCCAGACCAGTAGCTAGAAAACGTCTTCGAATGCAGTGGTGAAGAGTTTAGGGGATATAACCGTGTTGCCAGTGATGACATTTGAACTGAGACGTGGTCCATCACTGCCGGCCATATGAGGACACTCAAAGTTACTCAACGAGCTATAGAGAGGGCTATGCTCGGGGTTTTTCTGCGTGATAAACTTAAAAATGAGGATATCCGCAGTAGAACCAGAGTAAGTAACCGACATAGCTAAACGGATTAGAAAGCGGAAGTGGCAATGGGCCGGCCATATAGCTCGAAGAACCGATCACCGTTGGGGAAAAAAGGTTCTCGAGTAGCAGCCTCGTACCGGTAGGCGTAGTGTAGGGCGACCCCCACCTAGATGGAGTGACGAGCTGGTAAGACATGCAGGAAGTCGATGGATGCAGGTGGCTCAGGACCGTGCTTTGTGGCGTACTTTGGGGGAGGTCTATGTTCAGCAGTGGACTTGTGAAGGGCTGTAATGATGATGATGATGAATAAAAACCTTAAAAGATGTTTGTGTTTATCGATTAATAATAGACTATTGTAGCTGGTTTCAATTTATTAATAACTAGCGACCCGTTAGGTTTCGCCAGAATGGGATTGCCAGGATAGGATGAAGGAAAACATTGTGATGATACCGGCATGTCTTACAAATAAGAAAAAAATTAATTTAATAAGACAATTTTATGGTAATAATAAAAACGTTAAAAGATTTTTG